CTCACACTTATAGAGTTTGTTCTAGAATTTCCCCTCCCTAATATCTAACCTTGTATTAGTGGAGCTGAAATCTTTATGTACAGCAGAAAGGCTTACAGTGATAATTGAAGATGTTCACAGAAAATTTTGTCCAATGCAAGATTAAGCAACATAAAGCCTACAGGCAGATATGAACCACCCAAGGCTTCTGTGTGTGTACATTTTGTTTCATGTGTACGAAACCTATCCATTTCATACAGAGCAGTCTAGCCATGTTGCCTGTCTCTTCCAGAATTCTCAACTTAGAAGTTAATATGTTTTGTTATCTAGGAGATGTGTCATTCCTGATTTACCTGCTTTTTAATTGGCTCTGAATCCTGTTATCCTATATAGTTAAAGTTTTAAAATAGGAGGTTTTTTAAATTTAAAAAGACGAATCCTGAGGGTTCTCTCTTTCTATGCTGAATTCTATCTGAACCTGTATATTACTAGTGAATTATCTTAGGTAGAAGAACCATATGGTTAATACCATATATAGGACCTTTGAAATGGCCCAAATGAAGGACTTTTGGAATTTGTAAGGATTGTGATCTACTTCCAATAAAGCCAAGCAGTGGAAAAAGGCATTTGCCGAAATTTTATTTTGCTGCTTTTTAGGCTATATTTTCTGCGTTTCCTATATAACAAAAATAATTTAGTTAAATAAGAGTTTTCTGAAGAATATTAACATTGTAGAACCTCATTTTATAGCACAGACTGCCTAGATAGCTTATTTTTCTTGAAAAAGGACTATGTGCCCAGATTAACAATGGGAATACAGAATGTTGACATGGATATATAGACAACAATTCCTGGCCTTAAAGAGGTTCTGCCCTGTGCTGTGTTTTTAGTTTGGACCACCTAAATAGGTAACAACTTGGTAGTGCAGTAATCCCTGCTAGCAGGTTAAAACAGTGTACAAGTTTACTCTCATATACATGAACACAAGAGTTTTAATGCAGTGCAAAAATTGGGCTTTATAGATCTGTAATATAACACATTATTTCTAGTTAGATTAGATTTCTAGTTAGAACAGAGGTCAATTTTAGTTTATATATTGGACTCTGTTCAGGAATTATACACACACTCAGGTGCATACAGCATGACAATTCCAGTATTTTTCATGAGATTTTTCTAGGTCATTTTATGAAAACAACCATTTTCTTGGCTCAATAACAGTCAGATAATTTATTCTTGAGGCAATTGCACTTACCACATTCCCTAAATCAAGAATGTGTATCTAAAGTGTGTACAATAAGACTAAATGCCCTTTTGTAAGGAACACTTGTAATCAAAAATATACTTTTAAGATGGTATTAATTATACCAATCAGCTGATTAATATTTTGAGCCCTGCATTTAAACACTTAAGAAAGAAGACATGTATACCTCTCCAAACACTTCCTTTTTAAAATGAGTAAAGAACTTGTTTTATTTCTCAATAATGACTTCTTTGACTTTAGCTCCTGCATGGGGAAAGCAGGCTATGGAATTTCATAAGGAATCAGCATACCATCTTCTTCCTCACCAGGGTGCTTTCACATTCCGAGGTTTATATAAATATTGAACAAAAAAGGAACAAGTAAACATCTCTGGCGGACACCCCTGCTAGATGGAATGTCATCCGTAACAATACCAGCAGGGTTTAACCTAAGCCTCAGCTTAGTTTTAGTGTACAAAGACTTAATCATCCCTAAAAGTCTCCAACGTGCGTTATGGTCCACAAATGTTTACTTCTACTCATAGACTCGAAAGTACAAGAGAGGTCTATGCAAGCCACAAAAGCCATCTTTTTAAAAAAAAATGCCAATATTTATAAATTATGTGATTTAAGATAATACTGATCTTTCGCAGACCCACTACATCAAAATCCTGCCTGCTCTTCTGCCAAAATGTTATTATCTACCCCATCATGCAGCTTAAGATGCTTTGCAAAAAGTTTGTCCAAAATATCAAGTCAATATATAGGTTTACAGTTGCCTGATCTTGTGTTGTTGATGGGCTGAGCATCTTCATTTCAGCAGGCCCATTCTTCTAAAAGTGGCAGTTCTGAACTTCATCTTAAGGTATTCCCTGCTACATCTCCTCCAGCACTCAGCAGCATTCAGCAAACGCAGAACCATGCATAGGGACCTCATGAATGTCTAAACTGAGGCTGGAGACAGTTCTCCATTTGCAAGGATGGATTTGCCAAGACACAGTGTGCTTGGTACACTGAATACAGAGGAACCCTATTAAGGGAATGAAAGATCCATTGGCTTTTTATGAGATGTTTGCCCCATTTCCTTGTACCTAATAAAGCTCATTCTATTACTATATTTCTTCCTGACTGTTATGTCCCAAGAAAGTCTGGGACCAGGGTTCTCAGCAGCCTGGTTCAGCACCTTAACTCCTGCAAAAGGACTGCAAGTTTCCACAGGGTACCTGGAAGATCTCCCAAAATTACAACTGACTACGAAAGATCATTTCTCTTGGAGAAAATAACTGCTTGGGAGGGTGGACTCTATGGCATTATACCCCATGGGTGTTCTCTCCCCAAACCCCAAGCTCCACTCCAAAATCTCCAAGAATTTCCCAACCCAGAGTTGGTAACCCTATGTATTGTTTGCACAAGTATTGCCAATAAGCTCTGTGCTTCAAAAGTGCCACCTAGGCAGCGGTATCAGGATTCATAATTAAGTGATCTCTTAGTTCTAAAGGGCCAATTTTTGTCCACCAGACCTTATCAAACCCTCCCTTCAGCCCTTCCTCCTCTGTTTGAGCAAGTATCTGGAGAAGGCTTAGTTAAGCTCTGTTCATTTCCACAATGCTGCTGCCTTTTGGATATTTAACATCCTGCCTGCTCTTGACTAAGTTACTTGCCTCTCTCCCTTCTGACCATGGGCTGCTGCTTCAGGAATCTGACCCTTTCTTGACCTGATCTGTGCTATTTAGGGGTGTGTGCCAAGAAAAAAAAACCCTGTTATAATTTCAGATCCAGGATTCGGGGTGGGGGATTTACTATGACTGCTGGTTTTCAGGTAGGACATTACTAGTTCAGGTTTCAAATCTCTGTGTTTTGGGGGGTTCCAGATTTTTGGGACTGTTATTTTTAATGGGAAACCAACTTGAGGGTCTGGGATAGCTATTTTTAAAGATAATGGGACCAAATTTGCACAGAATATAGTCCCCCCCTAATCTAAAGACTCCCCTCAATTTCAAGAGAATTGGACCAACAGGTCCAGTTCTACAGATCCACAAACAAGGTGCCCCCACCTCTCCCACTTGCAGAGAAAAAAGGGCCCCATACCCACATATAAGGGAGGGAAGGAGAAGGAACTCACCAGAACCACAGCTCTGCCATTATACCCTGCTATTATACCCCCTATAGGTGACTTTGCGGGGTCTGGACTGGCTATTTTTCAACCAAATGATAAAAAAATTGCAGGGGAGTTAGTAGTGCTTGTCTACCAAGTATCAAGCATATTGGACCTAGGGGTCCTATTCTATGGGCCCAAAACAATGTGCCCCCAGCCATCTATCTGCAGAAAGAAAAAGGCACATACCCTCCAAAAGGGAAGGACAGAAGGAGAAGGAGCCAGGCAGACTCACAACTCTGCCAGGCCATGTGCCTGGCTTGTACCAGCTGTGAGACACCTTCCCCAAGCCACTACCTTGAAAATTCAGAGAATCAAAGAAAAACAAGACCCAAACACAAAAAAACTACACAGTTTCTTTTTGTGGGGAGGTTTTTTTCATAATGTCTAAGAATCTCAGGTTCATTTAACCATTTTAGAAAATCATGGTAACAACCCAAAATAGGGGATTCCAGAATGCACACCCCTAGTGCTATTTGCCTGACTTCACTGGACTACCAGCGAGTTCCCCTTGGACCACAAAACATGACTTCTAGTTCCAAACACCTATATGATGCTTACAATAATAGTTAAAACTCATGTTACCATTACTGCTTTCACTTTTCTCTCTCTTAGGATCAGGGCTATTTTAGGGCAGGAACGCACAGGAACGGAGTTCTGGCTGGCTCCCAAGTTGGCTATGCCCAGCAGGAACTCATTAGCATAATAGGCCACACCCAACAGCAGAAACTCATTAGGATTGGCTACATTAGGGGTGTGTGGCCTAACATGCAAAGGAGTTCCTGCTACAAAAAAAGGCCCTGGGATTTGACAACAAACAAGGTAAACAGAATAACAAGCAAAAGGTGGGTGTGGCTGGATAACCACACTTCTGGTAACATGGGGGTGCGGCCTAATGTGCTAATGAGCTGTGCTGTCAGGGGTGTGGCCCAATATGCTAATGCGTTCCTGCTGTTGGGTGTGGCCTATTATGCTAATGAGTTCCTGCTGGGCTTTTTCTCCAAAAGAGCCCTGCTTAGGATACCTTCCAAATGTAATTTGTCATAATATAAACTCACCTGCATTAATTTGCCCATTTCTTAAGTTTGTCACAGTCATACTACTGTGGTTCTTAGTGTGTCTTTTTCCACATGGAGGCATGCATTTATTAAGAACATCTATTATTTTTCATCACAAATAACTTTTCCCCTTATTTTTAATTACTTTAAAAAGAAATTTTCTTAATTTTTGCATGGTTTGAAGTTATATTGTTGAGTTTTTGATATGTCTACAAAGATGCTAACTGTGTGATCCTAACCAGAATTACACCCTTCTGAGATGATCAATTTCAATAGTCTTAGAAGGGTGTAACTCTGCTAAGGATTGCACTGCAAGCTGTACACCTTTACTTGCAGTATTTCATGAAGGCCAAACAACTGTACTCAGCATTGTAACCTCATATAACCTTCATAAAGCTATAAGTAACTCAAAAGAACCATGAGTCAACTCTTGTCCCCTAAACAATTACATTAACCTTTTCATTCATAAGAAAAGTTGGAAAGAAAGAAAAATGATCATCTCACATTATTAAAGGCATAAAATAACACTCAGATAGACAACAAATTAATGTTTTACTTCCTTACTATACCTGTGGATCAAAGAGGAAGTAAGGACGTCCACTTTGCAACTGAAGTGCAATATATTCCTCTTGATTCCCAGGTGACACAGAGAAAAGAATTAGGCCATCAGGCTCTGTAGTTCTAAAGCTCACTTTAATACCTGGTTGGAAATCAAAAGCAGATAATTATCTCTCACTTTTTCATGCATCTGTCATACTAACAAATCTGACTGCTCAGAAACAGAAAAACAGACCAAGCAAAATGCAAAAGCATCATCATTATGCAAATTCAAAAGTCATAACTTAAAATACATAGTGGTTCTGAACATGCTGAAAAAATTGTACAAACAAGCATTAATTTTTTCTTTGGGATTCAGGAAAGATCATGTGACCATCTGTCAAAAGGGTTGGTCTTTAATCTCGTAGAAGTGTTAGCCTCTGTAAACTGAAGCTGCATATACTTTTAATGGCTAAGATAGAACAGACATACAAAGTTCAAGTAACCCCAGGAAGACCCGAGTCCTGTGCAGGATCTTTGCCACTGGACATTCTACAGACATATTTCCTACAATATGGGAGGGGAGGGGGGCACAAAGAGTGAAGAACAGAACACAGTCAGCTATAACAATTTCTCATTGTTTGGTGTAGTGGTTAAGTGCACGGACTCTAATCTGGGAGAACCGGGTTTGATTCCCCACTCCTCCACTTGCACCTGCTGGATGACCTTGGGCAAGCCATAGTTCTGATAAGAGCTGTTCTTGAAAAAAAGCTGTTTCTGTCAGAGCTCTCTCAGCCCCACCTACCTCACAGGGTGTCTGTTGTGGGGAGGGGGAGGGAGTTTGTAAGCCGCTCTGAGACACCTTTGGGTAGCGAAGGGTGGGGTATAAAACCAATCCTTCTTTTTTATTGGCCAATTATGCAATTGATGATAGCATGGCATCCACAAACAATATTGCACCCCATTGCCCTAAATCACTTAAAGAAAAATCTACTAGCTTTCCTCCATTTTTATTGATTAATTTTAGGACTGTCTTTGGTAGAAAAGTATTCCTTTTGTTTTGCAACTCTACTTAGAGATGGGTTATAATCATGTCAGTTTTCTACTATGAAGTAATTGGTTTTTGGATAATAGAAAATAAAGATATAAAGAAAATAAAGATAATAGAAAATACAAAGAATCATAGAATCATAGAATGTTAGAGTTGGAAGGGACCTTGAAGGTCATCTTGTCCAACCCCCTGCACTCTGCAGGAGCATAGCTGAAAGTTAGCCCTACATACCTACAACATACCCGAAAGATGGTCGTCCAGCCTCTGCTTGAAAACATCCAGCGAAGGAGCATCCACCACCTCCCAAGGCAGACTGTTCCACTGCTCAACCACTCTTACAGTTAGGAAGTTTCTCCTGATATTTAGCCGGTAACGACTCCCTTGTAATTTCCACCCATTAGATCTAGTCTTGCAATCCGGAGCAAGAGAGAATAGATCTGCTCCATCTTCTACATGACAGCCCTTGAAATACTTGAAGACTGCAATCATGTCCCCTCTAAGCCTTCTCGTTCCCA